TATAAATATGCCCATTGGCAATAGAATGAAACATACCAGTATTCTACCATTCCAAAACAGGAATATTGCTTTGTCGGGAAATGGTTGTAGAGGTTTCCAGTTGACAAAGATAAGCTATGGGCTAGGGTTATCATTAGCATCCATGGTCTTGCAGTTGATGGTTGGGATTCTAGACTTTTGTCTTGGGCTACAAGAGCTTCTCCATGGAAATCCATTCATGCCATCCTACCTTCAGTCTTGCCTTTCATCAAGTAAAACCCTTGTTCTAGAAATCTTGTCATGTTTTGGGAACATATTTGGCTGGGCAACTCTCTAAATGCACAATTCCCCTCCCTTTGTGCTCTTTCCAACCATAGGTATGAGCCTATTTCATCTTTCTTGGTTCCTTCTAACTCAAGGGCTGGATTTGATTGGGACTTGGGCTTCAGAAGATGCCTCCTGAGTATGAAATGAGTAGCGTTTCGAATTTGTTCCAAGGTCTTGAAGGGGTGTTCCTAGATCCTTCAAAAAGGGATAGTCAGATTTGGACTTTCTCTTCCTCTAGTTCCTTTACCTATACCTCTTTCTTTTTATCCTTAATACAACCGAGCGCTAGCCTTGGAGTGCCTTTCCCTATAAAGGAGATTTGAAGCAAACCTATTCTACCTAGGGTGGGAGCTTTTTGTTGGGAAGTGTTTCTAGAAAGAATAAATACATGTGATTTACTACAGAAGTCCTTTTTGGTGCTTATCCCCACACTGGTATTCTCTCAATAAGGCAAATGGTGAGTCTTTCTATCACTTATTAATCTCCTGCCCCCCTTGCTTATTCAATTTGGGAATGATTTTTCTTTTTATTTGGGTGTAGGTGGAACTCCCCACCAAAAGTAGAATACTTGATTGCCTCTACTTTTGTCAGCTGGCCAAAAAAGAAGGGAAGAACTCTATGGAGAGGTGTACAAGGGCAGTTGTTTGTTGGACAATTTGGGAAGAAAGGAATCAAAGAACCTTTTTAGATAAAGAGAGGAGTAGGGAGGCTTTAATTGAAGCCATTACTATTAGAGTGATCCATTGGGTGAAATCTTTGAAGTTCTTTGAGAACATTCCTACAAGTGAATTGATGAGAAAATGGAGGGAAATAACTGATTCTGCTCCTTTCAAGGATATTGCTAGGCCTTTTTGGGCCCCAATTTCTAGTGGTTTTAGCAAGTTGAATACTTGAATTTCAAGGGTAGAAGTGAAGGAAATACAGGTCCTTCAAGCATTGGAGGAGTATTTAGAAATGATGAAGGAAAAGTTATTGCTCTCTACTCAGGTCCATTTGGGGTTGGTGACTCGTTAAGGGCTGAAATATTGGCTGTCATGGAAGGAATTCAAAAAGCTAAAGAGATCAACATCAGTAAGCTGTCAATCAAAGGGGACCCAAAGCTAATTATAAGTTGGCTTTGAAAGGAAAAGGAGATAGGTTGGTAGGACTACATTTATGAGAAAAGAAGAATCATGTGGCGACTACAAGGAATGGAGGTGGCTCTTTAATGGGTGAAAAGATATGCTAACTCTTTTGATGATACTTTTTTTTTTTGAGAACTGTAATGTAAAGTATTTCATTAAATCAAAAAGCCAACAAAAAAACCCTGTACAATGAGAATAGGATATACAATTCTGCTCCATAAAGCCCAATTCCCCAAAACAATTTTTTCCTTACAAAAAGCAATTCACAATCAAAGAAAGAACTAGAATGTCTATTTCTAAATAAAGGGTGAACTGCCAACCAAGAATGAATCATCCCCGGAATTTTACTTAAGATTTCTTCCTTTGAAGCCTGAATCCCTTCAAACAATCTCTTGTTTCTTTCACTCCACACAGCTCATAACACTTCTGAGGGAAGTATGCTCCATGCTACCTTTCCAGCTCTACTTAAACCTTCTAGGTGCCATGCCTCAATGAGACCCTACACTTCAGCTGGGAAGCACCATACCTATCTCCACACAGCCCTTTCCAGCTCTTTTGCTGATACCTTGACTAAACAAGGGGTGGAAAGAAGCTAACTGTTTTGGGCCCTGTTGTAATATGTGTTCAGTAAGGGAGAGCTAAGAGAGTTTATCTCTCCCTTTCTACATCTTTGTACATAATTATTGTTTTTTTCACAAACCTGTGTCAGTTATTGATCAAAAAAGGAGGGGGGATTACCAGAATAATGCTAGTGGCTAGGAAATTCCATACCTAAAAATGCTCGTAATAAGCATCCCAACAAATATAACGTTGACAGGAAACCAGACCCGAATCAATTTCCATGTTAGTGGTTCTGTTGATATTACTCCAAAGAAACTCAAGATAGAAACAATAATCACAGAGACAAGATTCTGCACCCACAGAAAAAAGTCAGGAAATTGTTACTAATCATAATTAATGCTTTGACTAATCAAAATGCAGGATTTATGAACTATATTGAAAAAAGAATGAGCTACTAAATTACCTGATAAAGCATCAAAGATATTCCTGCATTGAAATCATAGCTGGAGAGAACAAACTTGTTAACCAGTATCATGCTACAGGATGATATGCAATATGCAAGACCAGACAACACAGCTTGATTATGAATTTTCAATCCTCTGTTGCTACGTATTGGTTTATCTCTGTCTTTGTCAGCTTTACCACTTTCCAAATCCATTTCATCATTGTTGGGATACTTTATTGCAGAAGATGATCTGCATGGCAAACGGTGAACAAGGATAACTTCATAGTCAAATTGGTGCACTGATTCACATTAGAGTTTAACTAGTTACAAGATAATCAACAAAATGGTAATAACATAAAAGCCACAAAGATTACATATGGAGATTCAGCATATCTCACATTGCCAGATAAAGGAAAATGTAAATGCACTAGAGAAGGTAATGGTATGTGTACAATAGCAATATAGAAATGAAGTTACATATTAATTTAGCAGGATTTATTTTTTTTAACTTAAGGATTCATGAATTTAAGCATCAATTAGTTTAGACTATAAACAACAATCAATGCCTAATTCTGCAAAAATAAACTAGATGCTACGGAAAGAACTTTAAGTAAATTAGATAAAAGATGTAATGCCTAGATGCACTTTTAACTAGACTTATTTTTCTACCTTATTTTTATATTTTTTTATCAGAAACCGGTCACTTTAATTAAGATAAAGAATGGTGTATATACAGATGTCTACCTTGCACTCCTTATAGAGATTAGCAAAACTACCCTATCTTTTGTAATTAGACATTTTCTACCTTCCTTTTAATCAATACCTATAAAAAGGAAAAAAGCTGTAGATATGTACAATCCCCATAACTCAATATGAAAAGAAACTATAGGGTAAAGACCTTAGCTTGGTCCTTGTACAAGATAAACATAAAATGGTCAGAACTTGGTAAGGTATACCATAATAGAAAATTAGATATCATTTCTTAAAATCTCTACTTATTTTTATCATTACAAGAAATTTATTAATTTATAAAAAGAATTGAATGTTATATACGGTACAATCTAGTATGCATCCTTCAGTTTGGGCTAGCAACCCACAACCCACTAAAGTTAAGAGTTACATATCACTCATCGAACCCAAGATAAGCCCAAAGTATATTGATCAAAGAAAGACAATCCCAAAGTACATTTGAGATCTGTTCGCCCCCTGTTTAGCTAAACCATCTGTCAAAAAGTTACTTTCTTTTCGAATCCAATGGAATGTTGTTCTCAATACTCCAACAAGATGTTTATTAATTAAATGATTCATTGTTAACTATCCAAAAAAAAAAAAACTCCAGCAAGATGCTTGATTTCTCTCAATTTATGTCTGTAGACCAATGTCCCCAACTCTGAGCCACACAACAATAGTCTGCAAATCTCCTTTTGCTACCTGCTGGTTGAAGTGCAGATCCCTCCCAATTCTTAGTCCTTGAAAAACTACTAACAACTCTGCTCTGACAGCTCCAAGGACCTTTCCTCTCCACTATAGGTACCTCATCCATCTTGTCAAAAGACGGGAGTAGGGGTTGGTTAGAGCCGAGCCGAATAGTATGAGGCTCGAGCTCGGCTTGCCAAGGTTGTATAAGGCTTGAGCTCGAGCTCAAGCTTGGCTCGAGTCAAAAACTCATAAGCTCGAGCTCGGCTCGGCTCGAGCTCGATTTGAGGAAAAACATTTTATAAAAATAAAAAATTATATATAAAAATATTTTTTATTTGATATTTAAAAAATTAAGAATGATAATATTTTTATTATATATATTGTTTTCTATAATTTTATTTTATATATATATATATGTATATATATCGAGCTCGACTCAAAGCTTGGTTGAAACTGAGTCGAGCCGAGCTTGAGCAGCTCGTGAAAAGCTCGGCTCGTTGCCACCCCTAGATGGGAGTCACTACTCACTATCTATAAGTATCTTGTATCCTCTCATAACCCATGAATATTGATAACTTGAGACCCTGAATAAGAGAGCTCATCTTTCATTGAATCACCTTAAAACAACCTCTCTAGAGATGGCCACTTAATGCTTTGCCAGTCCATCTCTCAGTTGTTGCATATCAGTTTATTGCATAATGCATACATGATAATTTTTATACGTAAGAATATTATGAAAAACTCATAATAGCAAAGAATTTCATGGAATAACAAAATTTTAATATCAGAACAAAAAATATGAATAGTGAAAATGTTGGGGGTAAAATGAAGAAAACCTGTTAATTACATCTCTTCTTACGGGACTTGAGACCTGATCTAGCACTCCATTCTGCTCCCAACTCACCAAACTTCTTTCACCATTTCGAGTCACATTACTATTATCCTCTATCAGATGTCTTCCAGAATCTGGATCAAGAGTGTCTAGAGAAACACCTATAGGCAGAACTCTTGAACACAAAAGAATGAAAATGAGCTAAGTATTCAGTCCTCATGGCAGTTAAATACTTTTAAGAACAAAAATCAGAGTAGACAATCCAAAGACAAAAGTTGCCAATGGCAATCAAACTCAGTCTAAAGTTAAATCAGGACAGACTGTTGAATGGGTCCCATTGAAAACTATTTTTCTACCAAAAATCAGTTTAGCCAGATGATTTTTAAATATCCAATTCAGGTTTAATTTGTGGAACCACTTTTTGACTTCAAGAGAAACTTTTTCTCCAGAATCCACTTAAATGCAGTAACGTTGGAAGGTCATAAATTCAGTCTACTCCTCCCAACACCCTAGAAGGCCGGGACCAAAATTGGGCAATGGTCTTTAATGTCGGAGAGTTCTAGCCTTCTGTACAAGTTGATTATTGGGCCAGTTGATCTTCCAAGTGGAGGTCATCTGATGGTGGATTTCAATGCTTGAAACATGGGACAGGTGGTAAGGTATACGAGGTCCAGAACCAAATATATGGCATCTGCACTGTATTGTATTTTGTAAAGAGAGATTCATTTGTTAACAAGTTTCAGCTCATCTAGCAAACATAGCAGGTTAAACTTATAAACCATACTCAGCTCTAAGTTGGAAGGGGTCATGCGAGAAGAAACTAAAGATGTAGAAAAATAAATACATATATAGCAGAACAGACACTGTACACTATTTGATAGTTATATGTACTATGTATAGCAAATAATGCAAAAGGAATTCATTCTTTCTACAAAGTGAAGTCAAATTGTCACATAAAAAGAAAGAAAAGGTCAGAAAGTTGAGTAAAATGCACAACCATCATGGCATGTTAGTTTTCAATATTCTTCATATCTTCTCCTATAAAATAAATGCCAAACACTAGTGAATATGGATTCTGAATTGTCATTTCCAATGGATACAGCACTGAGCAGAGTGGAATAGCAGAACAGGATTCACATAGCCAATCCCATATAGTTAGGACAAGGCTTAGTTGAGTTAAGTTCTCTTGTTAAATAAAAGAAAAGTGTATCAATGGAAAAGTTTTTGAAGACCATATTAATGGAAAAGTTATAAAAACAAAAGAGAAGATGACAAAGAAATATGCATCCATAAACACAGCAGCACACTAAAAGAACTGTTACAAGCATGGAAATTCAAGTGTCCCTAAGGAAGAGTGAGGGTTAGATATTTCGTGGATGGGAGAAAAAAACTTCCCGTTAAGGAATGTGGCTTTGAAAATTTTCCAAGGAATAGCACAGCATGTGGTACATAGTACGTAGTCATTAAGAGCAGGTATGTCATGAATACCAATGGTTGGTAATGCAGGATTCACTAGCAGTCACATTGCTCTATCCTTGTAAAGCCATTACTTCTTTCATCCCATCCTTTCTCCCTTTTATCAGGTATGAGATTGTCTGATAATAAGGTTTTATTAGGTGATAGTTATTATAGGCATACTTGTATTTAGAGGGATTTTCAACTCTGTTGAGGGCATGGACACTAGATCTTGGACCCTTGAGCTCAGTAGAATTTTCTTTCCTGCTTTGTCAGAAAATTTGGAAGGCTCCAACTCCTCCAAACACTAGTGAACTGTGTGCAGAAATAGCTAATAGCCTAACAAGAATGTGAACATTTAAATCATTATTTGAGGAAATGGCTTGGAACTGGTGCACTTTTCCTGAAACTTACAATCTTTACATTAAAACAGGGGAAACAGTGGGCAATTCATCCATCCATTGTACAAATGCCTTTTTAGTTGGGGGTATTTTCTAATTTTGGGATAAATGTTTCTTTTTCCCAGGTGCCTGAAGGACTTCTTTGGGAGCTAGCTGGCCTACTCTTTCAGCTTAAGAGACAAGTCTATGTGGAGATGTCTGTTTCAAGATGTCTTCTTTGGGATTTGGGAGGAGAGAAACTATAGGGTTTTCTGTGGCATAGATCATACATACAAGAGGGTAGTTAACACATATCAGGATCATCCATTGACTTCACTGCTTCAAGAAGTTGAAATTTTCAGAGGTATCTTTGTCAACCTGGTGCTAAGGCCCAAGGGAGTTGGCATTTTGTTTCTAGGTCCCAGCTCCCACCCACCCCTATGTAAATTACCCTGTATTGATGCTTGTCTTTATTGACAAAACAGCTGTGCCTGTATTGGTTTCTTTTATTTTTATTTTTCATTTTAGATATACGGATTTCCTTGGCAGGTTCGCCTCCGAGAGACTCTTTCTGTTCCCATGTCTTCTTCTTTCTCTTATAAATGCATTCCATTGACGAATTACCAATCAAAATAAAAATCACATCCCCAAGCCAACAACTGAAACTCAGTCCAGCCAATGCATGCGAATGATGCATTGCTTATATGGAATTAAAAACTGAATTCTAGAAACCTTCAAACTTTCAAATTTTCGTTTCTGTAAATAAAACTTAAGTACCAAGACTCAATGTCTTACAAGATCTGGTTACTTGCTTTTGTCAATGAATCATGACAACATGACATCAAGTCATTAGACCTCACCCATAAGTTGATGAACTAATGTCTTACCAAGTCAAAGCCAACTGCGTGAAGACATAAATGGCTTCCCAGGTTTTCAGAGCTTGAGCACAAGTAAAATAGTTCAGACTCTTCCGCCTACAACTAGAAAAGAAGGTATAGCCGGAAAAAGGAATTATCATCACAGTTCTCTATCTATACTGGGAAGTCCACCCACTACATGATTTTTAACTATACATAAAACTATGAACAAGCATCAATTTACGCTTTATGCCGGTATTCTAAAATCAAACATATATGCCGCATAGAAGTTAAAAAAAGCTACTTTTTCCCTAACTTTCTATTTTCCGTGCAGGTGGGATATAACATCAGTTTCGAGCAAAGCTTCGAAGTAAGTTAACGCGTTCCCATCAGGAATTGCATCCAATATAACAACAATAAGCTCTCAAATATATTGATATTCTCCAAAAGTAAACACAGAAAAAAGAGGGGAAACAATTAAATCTCGAATATCCATGAGCCAATTTTCAGAGTCTAATCGAAACCAATGAGAAAGAGGGAGGGAGGAGGGAGGAGATTACCTCGAACCCATTTAGCAGGAACTGAGACCCCTCATAATTCACAATCGAATCATAGCAACGGTCAAACGAGAAGGAAAACTGTAGAAAGAGAAAGCCCTTTTAAAGGATTTTAGAAGGTGAAACAAAGAAGCAGGAACAGAGACCCTGTAAGAAAGAAAGAGGAAAGGGTGAGCAGCAACGGAGGAAAGAAAACTGATATTTAAACTGCCACGAACTCAAATGATGAAGGAAGTCAGAGTTACTATTTGATTTTGTAGAAATATTTGTATCTATTTATTTTGTTTTCTTCTTCTGCTCTTTTTTTTATTTTTTTTAACAAATCAGGCGAATTCACTGTATCTGTATGTTCCCCCAATTGATGATTGAATAGCGCGTCATGTGCTTGTGTGGGCTGTTAGGCTGCTAAGCATCATAGCACCAACCCACCACTGCTCTGTCTGTGCTGCTGCCTAACTTTAATCGTTTCTGGCATCGTTGCGTTTAAGCAATATCGCATATTTCGTTGTGATTAAAATAGGATAACTCAGAAACATAATCTGACGTTGCATCGTTTTCATAAACATGGTTTTTGTCTTTTTATGCTGTCACACTAATGTGGCTAATTATTTAAAACTGCTTCAAAGTCTGTAACGCCTGGTTGGTTTGCAGTGTAATTTCATATCCACCGGTTGCAAAAGCATGAGAGTGCAAATAATTTGAGTAAAAATTCATTTTCTCCTCTGTTTTTCTGAGCATTTGAGTACATGTTCTTGCGCCAATGAAATAAAATAAAACCGGAAACGAAGTAAAAAAGAAAGCTGAAGCAAAAAAATAAATAACTTTCTCATTTTGCACTCTCTGGTATTTCATCATCATCACCATAGCCCCTTCAACTAACAAAACATCATTTCATATGGGTGTTCTCAAAAGTCTTTGATGCATATGACTAAATCATCTTAGCTTAATCTTTTTCATTTGCAACAATATCCACCGAGTTTTCCCTATTTTCCCTTTCTTGCTCACATTTTCTTTCAAACCAAACATGACTTTAACTTTCTTGTATGATTATCATGTATCTTTGTAACTTTCTAAAACCCCAAACTACCCTTATATCATTTTATGAGACGATTTTGCAGAAAATTGTTAGAATATAACTATATAAGTAAACGACAAAATAGAAAAACAAAGGAAAATAACAATTTGAAAAAACAAAAAATACAATAAAGAATGAAAAAAAAAAGAAAAAAATATAAAAAACACTGAAAATTGCAAAGATAAAACTAAGAATACAAATGGACATTTTAATAATTTTACCTTTACCACCAAGCCCCATAAATGAGATAGGGGCAACATGTTGGAATCTAATAGTGTAGGATGGTTCTATGCCACAAATACAAATTTTGGGGATAAATTTCAATACCCAAAATACAGGGTGGCAGTCTGTGACTTATTCAAAAAGGAATTGCATAAACGGCATTTTGCTCCAGCAATGTATCAACATCATTAATTAACATGGAATAAATTCACATGGTGACGTGTGTTGAGCGTTGACTCATACATGATTTTATTTTTCTAAACAAACGCAATTGAAAGTTTGAAACATCAGTAACATTATATTGTTTCAAAACAAAAGCAATTTCATTTTTGGAGAAACAAACAAAACCATACATTTCCGCAATCACCCCCGAGTGTTTCCCAACACCGGAAAGCCTATCTGCAACGAAATGGTAATTGAGATTTGAGACTAGACTTGTTCATGGGCCGGGTAGTCTGATGGGCTGGCCCGGTCCGATCTGATTTAAGTCAGGCTTGAAGAGGATTTAAGGGCTGTAGGTTCGGGCTTGGGCCTAAAACACCGGGCCCAACCTTTTTGCGGGCGCAGGTTTGATCTTTTTCAAAAAGCCCGGCCCAAGACTGAGCCTGATTTGATAATGTATTCTGTAATAAAAATATATTTTATATAATATATAATATATAATATTTTTCTTTTTTATTCTTCTCTCTTTTTTTTCAAGTAATAGTGTGATCTTTCATTATTTTTTAGGTTTTGAGGTCTTTTAATATAAATAAAACAGTTTTTTGTTGAATAAAAAATAAATAAAAATCTTTTTCTAATTTTCTGGTCAGGCTCAAGACCTAGGCCCGATGGTTGGGCCAGACTCGGAAACAAAGCCTGGCCTGAGCCCGACCCATGAACAGGTATAATTGATACTCTTTTTTGATAAATTTGGCAGCGGCTTCATTTTTAAGAAAACAAAAACAAAGCCCAAATGGCCAAATCCCTAAAGTCATTTGGCTGAATAAAAAAGAAAAGCAATTGGGTATTGCAATTGGAGAAACTTTACTTACCCCGTCTAACAAATTCTAAATTCATAGCACAGTTGGGAAATAGAGATAGGGGAGAATTGATGCCAATACAAGGGGTATTGGTGTTTAGGGGAGGGTGCTCAAAGTTTTTGAATTGTTGTAGAGGTACAGTACAATTAAAATTTATGAGGTGGATTTCAGTGGGGATTTCCCTTTACAATTAATCCAAGGAAAGATTAATCGAAATAAGCTACCCAGTGTCAACTCATTTTTTAAGGACCCAAAAGCTTGCTTTTTGACCAGGTTGGTAGGAACAATCTACACATCAAGAGGGTTAGGTCATGGGCCATGACCCATCCAATTAAACAGGTTTTGGTAATAAGGTAGAACCAGGCCGGATATTGTTTTGACAAAAGTCTAGATCCAGATTAATGACCAATAAAATTTCTTTGAAAAATAAAGGTTAGATGAAGACAAAGCCTGTTAAAGTAAGACACAGGATCTGCAGTCCTAGCCAAGAAGACTTCAACCTAATTGATTAGCATGGAAGAGAATATACAAGGCAAAACAGCCTGCAAATTAGGGGTGGTACGCTCACAACCTTTTTGGTTGGAACCTCATATTTGTAAGATTTTTTATCCTTAATGAATAGTCTTTTACTTATCCAAAAAGAAAAAACAAAAAGGAAGAAAAGCATATCAAGTAATTTTGTCGGAGTCAGACCAGATTGATTTGACGATAGAACCGGTGAGATTGACTGACTTCATTTTCAGGCCATAAAAGTTAAATCCAAATATTTTAATAATGAAAAAATCTATAATACCGGAGTGTTGATTATATGGCATCGTAGTCGAATCCTTCTATAATATAATGTCAATATAAAAAAGTAATTAATCGGGATAAATATTTTAATCTTTAAATCTAATCAAACAAGTGAAAGGTGAAAAGTTGTCAAATCTTTTCATCTTTTTACCAATTATCTTGACTTTGGGTAAAACAATCATATGAACATAATTAATATGAACCACTTTTAACTCTCTAACTCTAACAAAGGAAATACAATTAAACAATAAAAGGAGAATAGACATATACTGTTCTCATTATTGTACAAAATTAGATTCTTGTAACTGTGTCCATGGTCTATTGGGTGGTCGTAAGAATTTATGCGACAATATGTTGTGAGCTGGTGATTCTTTTCATGCACTTTCATGCAAACTTCCAAAGTAGAGAAAAGAACTTGGCCACTTGGGTGTACCTTTTGGTGTAAGGTTGGCACACCAGGGTAGATCATATTAACAAGTCTAATACAAATTTTTTATTTTTACTGTAGAGTTATAAACATTCAAAATGTCAATAATTTATATTTTATGCATCGGTGTCTGTCTGTAAATTGGCATCAATTCTGAACTAACACCTATCTTTATAGTACTTTATGTCTATAAATTCTGACCCTGGGCTGAATCATCTTTTTCCCAAATTAAATTGGGTTCGGTTAGATCTATGACAAGTCAGAGAGATGGGTGAGTTGGGTCAAATTTGAAATTATGAATGGCACGTCAGTGGAAACTTGCCTACTATTTTAGCTTGGGTTTCAACTTTCAACTATGGAGGTCGCACCAGCCCATCTTGGATAACTACTTTTACGTAAAGTAGAGCTAGAAATGGGGTTGGCAGAGTATAATAATAGAAAAAAAATTAAAGTGGGAAATTCGTCATCTTCAAGGCTGTTTTGGGTGCAAAAAAGATAAAAAAAAAAGGCTGTTTTGATTGGGTAGAGAAACAGCAAGTTGAGGAACAGTAGTCTTGTTTAAATAATATATATATATATATATTATATTTAAATTTAATATTACAAATTATTTTGTAGACCATCTTTGTATTACAATTTGGCTACTTCTTAGTACAGGGGAATCATCACTGCTGAAAATTGTATTTCTCAATAATAGGTAAGCAGGTTTCTAACTCTTCTTCTGCTTAGATTGTCTTCCATGGCCAGTCCCTACCAGCTTTTTTTCTGGTCCAAAAATTGTATGAACATGGTTCAATTCCCTAAATTGTTATTTCAGGTCCATGCTAGAGCAGCAGAGCTTTAGAAATTTGGATGCTAATAGAGTAGAATGGCAAAGCTGGTTTTCTGAATGAATTATGTGGAGTGGAATGGTGAATCTCTCAAATACTGTTTAAAGAAATACTGATAGTCTGATAACTTTTGAGCATGAAAACTGTGTAAATGGAAGTATGGAACAAAAAGATTTTGCAAGCCAGAGTTTGTTTGGCTAGCATTTTCTTCCTCTTATCTTTCAACTTGAGCTGGTAAGGTTATAGCGCTATAACCTAAGGTTGGGTTATAGTTTTATTCTTTCACCTTATGCTGTGTTTGGTTGCTGTGCAATTTTATTCGCACTAGTACAAATGCATGGGAGTGCAACTAAAGAAAATGTAAATTTGACTTTAATTTTGTTTTGGGTTTTACTTTATTCTGCTAAATGTCTTAAATTACTTAATTTGTACTGCAATAAAACAAAATAAGCTAAAATTTGAAATAAAGATAGGTCAGAAATTATACTCAAGTCATTTGCACTGCCATAATTTTGCATCAGAACAAATTTATTTGCATTGCAACCGAAAACAGCCTTAGTTTCAAATTATCGATACATTTGATACACAAAAACTTGCATATCCGGTATATTAAAGGCAAACTCCTCTTTTTTTTGTAGTTTTTTATTTTTTCAAAATTTTAGAGGAGTCAGTTTTAGACCTGGCTAACCTGTGAAAATCATCAAATCCTAAAATGCCCTGTATTTAGTGTATTAGGACACTAACGAAACAATATGATATGCTTGATATGCCTTGATACTTTGCAGTTTTTTGACCCTTGCTTTCATCTATTTCATGACCATTTAGTATAGATGAAAATCATCTCAACTATGTTGTAAAATTCTACCAAGGCTGAGTTTGGTTGCAGTGCAAATTTATTTGTACTAGTACAAATGTAAAAAAAATGTAAATTCTTGTCTAATTTTGTTTTGGATTTTACTTTATTCTGCTTCATGTCTTAATTTATTTTATTTGTATTGCAGTCAAACAAAATAAGTTACAATTTGAAAGAAAAATATGTCAGAATTTACACTCAAATCATTTGCACTGACATAGTTTTGCATCAGTACAAATTTATTTGCATTACAACCAAACACAGCCCAAGGAAAAAACCTATGTTGTAAAAGACTACCACATAGTTTATCACTGTTATTGGTTAATTAGTATTATAATTAATCGTTACTCAACAATGGCAATCATAAATTGAAGCTTGCCAACTTCAACTAATGTCCATCAGCTTCAATGGAGTTTTCTATTTAAGAATATAGCAAACTAAATACTATGGTCATTATTAATATTAATAGTAATAGTAATTCTTCTTTCCATGTGCAGAGTGCAGTATCAAATTAGAATTTTCATCACAAACATTATAGTTTTCTGTAATATTGATTAAAAGCAATCTATGAAATATAAATATAAATCATTTTATTTAATGACATTTGGTCAAGGAGATAATTAAAATAAACATTTCTTTCTTTTTTTTTTTTTGTGCTGAAGCATCTGATTGAAATCAGTAGAACTAATAGAGGGGATTCTGCATAAAAATTTCAATCATGATACAGCCTAACATGTATGCGAGACATTAAAAACATATTTCGTTAACGTGTAAGATATGCACTTTACTTGTGTATTTAACGTGCACTTGAACAAAGGTTTGGTTATGTATGGTAAAATACCATTAGCCATTGTTGGTCACAGCTATATGGAGTTTTGGGAGGAACTGAATATGGACCTAACTTTTGACTTCTTTTTTTCTTACACAAAGTGATTGCTCTCAGATATGAACCTGCGTTACCGCACTTCTTAGTTTGAGATTTTACCATTAAACCAAGCTCTCAGACTTGAACATGTGTTATCACACTTGCTAGTTCAAGATTTTATCATTAAACCAAGCAATGACCCCTGTTTGGTGGTGTATGATGAAAAACAGAAATAACATAAAAATCCAGGGTGGTATCTCTGTCTACCAAAAAAAGGGTGGTATCTCTAGTATCGTACTAATATTTGTATTTAGCCACTCTTCCCAGTCTCATTTTGTTTGCAATGCAAATTTCATTTGTACTAACGAAAAGGGGGTCATGCAAATGGACTGAGTGTAAAGTGTAAATTTTGGTTTACTTTTGTTTCAGATTTGATATTCTTGTATTTGTTTAAGATAAGTAAAATGACGTGGTCTCTGTTTTATATGGAAAAAAGAAAAGAGGCAGAAGAAGGTTACTTGTTTGAGAGGAATAAGGTGGGAATTAAAATAATTTTATGTGAGAGAGAATCAAGATAGGAGGCAAATGAGATAAAAAGTACAAATTTTGCATCAGGTGTGAATGCAAATCATAGTAACAAACAAACAAATGCCTAATTGAACCAGGTTTGAACTTTGGCTGTGTTTGGTTGCAGTGCAATTTTATTTGCACTAGTACAAATGCCTTGAAGTGCAAATGAAAATAACGCAAATTCTGGTTTAATTTCATTTTGAATTTTACTTTATTCTGCTTCAGGTCTTATTTTACTTCATTTGTACTGCAATCAAACAAAATAAGATAAATTTTGAAATAAAAATATATCATAATTTGTATGAAATCATTTGCACTATCATGGTTTTTGCATCAGTGCAAATAAAATTGCATTGCAACTAAACACACGTATCCAGTTCAGATATGCAGGACAAACAAACAGAATAAGCGTATATAAGACTTTGGATTGAGTTTTGGTGGAGAGGAACAGGAAAAAGAAAAAAAAAACGGTGTTCAAACTCACCTAAAATCCAATTAGTCCAAACTTTCCTACTTGTTTAAAGCCTGTTCAACAAGATAAAGTTCAATATAATAACCCTTCCAAGTAATTCTGTTTTTTTCTCCATCACAAACTGGCCATGCATCTTGATTTTTGTAATGGAAAAATCTATAATGCGAAAAAGATATGGTATGGAAAGAATTTTCACCAATCAAAAGCCACCCATGAATTTTGATAAATAACACCTTATTGGCTACCACGTTTATGATTCACAGTATATTGGTCAGTTGTTTTTCGAATATCATATGATAAGGGTGCCACCACAGATAAGAATTATGCTCGGCTATGCTATGTCCAACTTTGTGCAAATAGGAGGATGAACTCAAAGAGCTTTAGAAATGCATGGACTTTCACTCTTTTATTATCCCAAAATCATTTTATAATCAAGTAATCAACTAAACTTCAATGGTTGTCCGGCGATCCGGGACAATCAGGTATTGAAAGAACAATTAGTGGTAGTGATTCCTGAAGGTGTTTTATCACTTATGTTCTCTCTTTGTTGATTTGGCTATTTTAAGATGGTGTACCATTGTTATTTTTTGTTGTTGATTTTCTTAGAAAACTTCATAGTATTGGCATTGCATTGTCGTTTTCTAATAAAATAGCCATGGATGTTGTTTGGTAGTGTTGCTGCCACTTAAACAGATGGGGTGATGCAAGGTGCCCACCAGCTGGTTGGTAAGGTATCTGCTGGTGCCTGGTGGTAGCGGAGACTTGAGATCGAATCCCACATTATACATAAATTTCTGTTTGGTAAGGCATTTCTTATTACCGTGTTATTAGAAAACAGCACTGTTACTGCAACATTGACATCGGGTTATCCAACCGCTGCAAGCAATAGTGGTGAGCTATAGAAAGAAATGTTATAAGGATGTTTCACAGACACTCGAATTTCTTAGGCCTTTTAACCAGAAATGCTGAATTGGTGCTTATGTGGCACTGTTTTTCTAGGAAATGGCAATGATACCAAGCATACCCTAAGTGGGAAAATATCCTTTGGTTGCTCACGTTTCCACGTTCTATTGGTTCATTGGTTGGTCAATTGGAGTAGAAGTCATTAAATCTTAGAAATTCTTTTCAAGACCTTTCGTGTGCAGAAAGGTCAAGACAGTGGCATCCAGGCTGAGTATTTTTTTTTTTCCTGTTCTATTAGCTCCTTAGTTCAGCTAATTCCTCAATCCATTTCCCTGTCAAGTGGAGTTAATAAGAAAGGTTTGTTTTGAGAAGAAAGAATATCTGTGTTGTGAGTCCCAGTCCCCAGCATGATCCTGGGTTTATGGACACCTGTTAAGATGAACCAGGACAGTTCATTGAACACAGTCTAATTAGCATGGAATCTCATCTCTTCACATTTCATTTCCGGTTTTGAAGAAGAAAGGTACTCTATAAAGCAGAAGAAAATTGACCGGGAAACAGAAAGGGAGTTATTTTTTTCTTTTTTTTTTTTTTTGCAATTTCCATTAAACTATATATACAAACTGAGAAGATATTTTATGAAGAATTTATCCAATCAACATAAGAAGCTTGCCTCTCTTTAATGAAACCCATGATGGTAGAAGCATCACTATGCATTATAACCCTCCCATCTTCCATGTAGACAGCACCATCTGCATACTCCAGTTCTTCCAAGCGGTGAGTAACCCACAATGCTGTAACATCTCCAGAAACACCCAAAGAACTTTTAACAGCCTTTATCACCCCAACCTGATAAACAACAGAATCCCATTTTGTCAAACAAATGGTGGCAGTACCATGAAGTATTTTTATGTACTTGGCAACATAATTGGCTACTTGATCAAGAATTTCAAAGAGAACATAAATGGCGGATGCATCATTAAAGTGATAACTGTCAGTGTGCATGTATGGAGTTATACATTTCTAAAGTCCTCTGCTCAAAGAAGTAAAGATGTTAGGATACATGGTAGGATCAAATTGAACATGTAACAGTTTCTTTTTTTAGTACTCCCTATAAAGAAAACTATTTTAAGATTTACAAAATGATCTATATACAGTGACTATACAAAGTATGAAGCATCTCTTCTCTTATCTTACAATTTGAAACTTGACAAAAAAAAAAAAAAAGTTTTCCACAAGGTGGCAAATGAAAGGACTAACACAATAAAAAAAATTGAATGTGTCACCTTGTGGATAAAAGCGACGAGATAAAGAAGGTAGTTGTGGATTTCTATAAGAATCTCTATTCTGAACTCATGTGGTGCAGACCGAGATTAGATGGTTTGCAGTTTTCTCATCTTTCAGTGGATCAGGTAGCAGAGTTGGAGAAGCCGCTCTCAGAAGAAAGAGGTGTTGAAGGTGTTGAAGGAGATGGAAGGGGATAAGGCTCCAGGTCCAGATGGTTTTACCATTTTATTTTATAAAAAATTCTGGGAGGTATTAAAAGAGGATTTGATGAAGGTGTTGCTGGAGTTTCACTCTTCTGCTGCTTTAGAAAGAAGTCTCAATTCCACTTTTATCACATTGATCCCTAAGAAAAAAGGAGCCTCCAAGCTTAAAGATTATATGCTGATTAGCTTATTAGGGAGTATGTATAAAATCATTGCAAAGCTTTTGGCCTCAAGATTGAGCATGGTGCTGGGGTCCCTTATATCTTCTTCTCAAGGTGCTTTTGTTCTTAACAAACATATTCAGGATGGAGTGTCGATTGCCAATGAAATAATTGATTCTAGAAAAAGGAGTGACAAGAAGAGGCTTGTGTGCAAAATTGATTTAGAGAAAGCCTACGACCATTTTAATTGGGCTTTCCTAGATTATATGTTGAAGATGATGCATTTTGGTCAAACTTGGATAAAAGGTTTGTGTCTCCACGCCTAGATACTCAATTCTGCTAAATGGTCCTGCAAAAGGTAATTTTAAAAGCTTTAGAGGTCTTAGGCAAGGAGACCCCCTATCCCCTTCTATTCCTCATTGTTTTGGAAGGCCTGAGTAAGATGATTGATATAGCCATGGATTGAAGATGGGCTGCCTAGAAGGATTTCAAACAGCCAACAATGGGGTAGAAATTCCCCTACGTCAATTTGTGGATGAAGATACACTGTTTTTTTTTTTTTTTTTTTTGCAGTGCTAAAGCAGAGCAAGTAATCTATTTGAGCTACATTCTGTGTTGGTTCGAAGTGGTGTCAGGGTTAAAGATCAATTTGGCAAAGAGTGAAATGGTGGCTGTTGGAGAGGTTGCAAACTTGCAGTCCTTGGCAGATTTGTTGGGTTGTAAGGTAGGTGCTCTTCCCTCTTCCTACTTGGGGCTGCCTTTAGGGGCCAAGTGCACTTCTAAAAGCATTTGGTCTTCTGTGGTGGTGAAATTGTTCGGTAAACTAGCTTCATGGAAGGCAAGGTACTTGTCTAAAGGGGGTAAGCTAACTCTTCTAAGGAGTGTGTTGACCAGCATCCTTGTTTACTATATGTCTTTGTTTCAATTCCCTCAGAGATGGCTTTGAAGTTGGAGAAAATTATGAGAGACTTAAAATGTTCCATTTGGTCAATTGGAACCAGATTTGTAAACTTATCAAATATGGTGGTCTGGGAATTAGAAAACTGAAACATTTCAATCTGGCCCTTCTTGGTAAATGGTTCTGGATGTTCCTCAAGGAGCCCAATGAGGCAAGTTATAGCACAGAAGTATGGTATTCACATTAACGGGTGGGATACAGCTGAGTCTAACCTCTCTTATGGATGTGGGGTGTGGAAGGGGATCTATAAGGCTTATCCTCATTTTGTTAAAGGAATTAAGTGTAAGGTTGGGAATGGCACAAGGCTGAATTTTTGGCATGACAGTTGGTGCTCAGACTGCCCTTTGAAAGACTTGTTCCCAGAATTATTTCTCATGGCTGCTGATAAGGAAGCCAAGGTAGCTGAGCACTGTGTTGAAACTGTGAATTCTCCTCAAGAATCAGGAATCATTTTGTTAAGGCCATTCACTCTTCCTCCTGCATGCTTAATTCTGTCAAGTCCCTTCTTGAGAGCTGGAAAGTTGAAGGTATGAGCAAAAAGGGTAGGATCTTGTGGAATGCAATTCCTTGGCAGTTTTGTGGTCCATTTGGAGGGAGAGAAATAGGAGGATCTTTGATCAAAAGCAGCTCCAAGTAGAACAGGTGATAAAATTCAGTGATAGATTATTTGAGAGGGTGGTTGAGTTCATATGCGGTTCAAAGGGGATGTATCAAGTGCTTGTGTAATGGTTAATTTTTTTGAAGGTTTCTAAGGTGGTTCTTTTGCACAGCCTTTGTGTAGTGAACTCCTTCCTGTATCCATCTTTTATTTATTTAATAACATCTTACTTTACCTCTTAAAAAAAATATTAACAGAATATGCCTCTGATGAGCGCACAGCTAGTAGAAAGTTCTGAATAGACACAAAACAAACTGAATAATAACAAAATCTTTTCAAAGATGTTCCCTTAGATACTGAATAGGAATCCCCCTTGCATGAACATATAGCTGTGCACGACATTCCTACTAAACGTTGAAGAATAACCTATGATACCTGGATATCTATGCAACTGCAAGGTTGTGGTATTGTCTCAGATACTTCAGTTTTTAGTATAAATTCCATGCCCAACATCTTGTCCAGTGATTTCCTGGTCTTATCTGAGTAGAAGATGAGAACAACATCCAAATATTCTGTAGTTTCTTCATTGATTTTGAATATATCTGAAGAATCTTCTGCTGAAATTTGGTAGAACAATATTCTTCATTCTTGCCTCTCACAATAGAAATATCATGGGATCTTGCATGAATACTTTAAATATTTCATTCTAGAGAGAAGAACATGGAAACTGGGAGAGGAAAGGAAGACAGATCAAACTTTGATACTAAATGATTGACAAATGGAGTAAGAACTTGAAGAAAATAAACCACTGACCCATTTATTACTGATTATAAGGTCGTGTTGGTTTGAAAGAAAAGGTAGGGAGACCTATACAAGGCTTGTACATGTTTCTCTACCTTCCCCTTCCTTTCCTTTCTTCTCTTTCAAACCAAACGCAACCCAAGTGACAAGGTAGCAGGAGGAACAGAAAAATTGAGGTGCACAGATGAATTTTAGTCTCAGATCAATGGGAGAGTTTCCTGATGTAATTATTCAATGGTTAATCCATCACCTTTTTTTTTTTTTTGATCAGTAAAATGGTTAATCCATCACATGGAAGATAAGAGGAATTGGTAAGACTTGACATATGAAGAGTTAAACACTTGGGAAGAAATAACCGCTGTAGTTTGACACCTGGAAATCAAAATTTTCAGCTCGGTAGACTTCTTGGTTCCTATTACTTTCTCTAATGGTTGTGATGGAATTATTTAGTTTTTTCTTGAAACAATACTTTCTCAATCATATTGGAGAATGCTGGCATAATGCTTGACTGTTTCTGTTGACTATGATGACTATCAATTCTTGTTTCTTTAATCTACAAAAAATGCATTAAAATGGGGGGAACATACTTCTTATGAGCTTAAGGACATCAATAGACAAAGGGAGAAAGTCTTGGCTTCTGTGCATTGACTTGAACTTCATTCTGAAATAAGAGAATAACTAGGGGTTGATATGAAAACATATAAGAACTCACTTAACATAACCACCAAGCAGAGATATGAAACATAACATAGGTACAGCACTACAGCTATAGAGAACTCCAACATGGTTTGGACTGAACTGATCACAAAACAGACAATTAGCCAATTGGGTTTTGAGCAACTACAATCTTATTTTTTTGGATACTAGAATTATGACTTTTGCAATCAGTAAAAAGGAACTACCAATTATTAATTGCTCAAGAACAAAGGGAGTTTATGAAACAGTCTTCAATGGATTTTCATTGAGGTTATCAATCCAAAAATTGACAGAGAAAATAAAGTTATGAAAAGAAAAAAGGTAATACCTGATCATTTTCATCCAAAAATGTTGTCAGCTCATCTAATAACAGTACTTTGCATGCTTCAGCTAAAGCACCAGCAATGGCAACCCTTTGTTTCTGCCCACCACTGAGAGTTTGGACTGGTCTCTGAGAAACACAATAAAAGGAATCTATCCATCAGTTTTATGTAATCTTCCAACATAAAAATATCAAAATAAAAAGTTGTTACACAACTGCAACCTACTCGCAAGTAATCAGACATGCCCACAGAATCTAAAGCTTTTGCCACTCTGGACCTAACTTCCTCTTTGGTCAGGTTGAACTTACCAAGACCAAATGCAACATCAGCTTCTACAGTAGGCATCACTACCTGCATAGGAGAAGCAATGCCTTTAATAATTTCATAAGAGCCATTTTCTTTATAGTTTCAATTTCCAAAGAACTGATATCTTCCCTATGGACATTATAACTTCGCTAGAACCATAAGAGCAAGCTAAGATGCCACAGCCACACCAACCACAGATGTTTAAGTAAGCTAATCGAAGGGATAATGCTACACACTTCTCTTGAAACTTCTTCATTACTTCCAGATTCAAACTAATAGCCCATAATAAAGGCATAAATACATTTCAACAAGATGATCACTATTTCCCACTAAACACTACCTCTTCCTTTACCACAGTGGACATTTGAATTAGCAAGATATGTGCATGGAACATTCAAGGGTTTTAATTATGTCAAACTCAGTGCTACAACTGAAACAAATTGTGTTTTCATTTGCCCCATAAATTGTCTTTTAATTGTGTTTCCATCTTTAGTTCTGTCTCAAAATTGTCCTTGCAATTACCCCAAAAATTACATAAACTGGAAGGCTGCTGGAAATTGAATAAACATATAAATCGAATCAGGTCCTTGGCTTTGAGGTATTTTTTTTCTCTAGATGCAAGGTTTCTGCACTTTGGTGTTCTTTATTTCCTTTTTTTTTTCTTTTAGTGTTGTTTCTTTTCACTTTTTTTTCCCCTTTTTCTCCTAGGTCCAAGACTATTTTCTTATGTTTCTTCTGTTGTAGTGGGATACTCTTTAGGCTTTTCATAGGGAAGATGCAGTGGGATGTTGGTATGAGACATTTACTTCCTGTTTCATCTTTCTTGGATTTGTTTATGATATAAGCTATATAGTTCTCGTGCTGATTAGAAAAAAAAGAACCCTAAAATTGGGAATACCAACTTTCATCTAATAAATAGTTTTAAGGAAGATAAACAAGAATATGAAAACACATTGTTTTTGGATATCCTTAAGAATTCATAATTTTGACCCAAGAAATGGGAAGAAGTATGGGTAATTCTAAGGAAGAAGACTACCCGTAATATCATCTGATAATACCATGCTATTCTTAATTTTCTTAACCTTTGAATACACATAAATCACAGAAAAAGGAAAAAGTACAAAAATGCTATCCAACTGTAAGAGGATGGAAGTGCTAGGAAGAATGAAAGACAAAAGTATCAACCTGGTGGTCCGGATTTTGGAAAACATAGCTCTTGGGCCTCTCCACATATATAGTTCCATGAGTTGGATTCAGTAGTCCAGCTAAGACCTGAACCATTGACACATCAGTAATTACTAAGTTTGGGTTGACACTTAGTGGCATTGAACCTATAGAAAAAATTCTGCAGATATTCCGTTGTTGAACATTTACAGAACTTTAGTTATATCTCTTCTCAATAAACTAACCAGTAGAATCAATGAAACCATCAATAGAGTGAAAATGCGAAGAAATACCTTTAACAGTGTAGATTTTCCACAGCCATTGGGTCCAAGAAGCATCCACAACTGCCCCGCAGGAATCCGAAGCGAGCAGTCCTTGAGAATTGGAACCCACTTCCCATGCTTCGTTCTAACTGAATAATTCACATTCCGCCCTTCAATGGCGAATTTCTGAGTATCAAAACTGCAACGCATACAAAAAGAAACAGAGAAAGAGAACTACATAAAAGGAAAAAAGAAAAAAAAATGCAAACTTGAAGTCTGAAACCTAGTTAACGTGCCGTACCTCGTAAGATGGGTAGGATTTAGGGGAGGAACATTAGAGATTGAGGCTCGAATAAGAGCAGAGTGATTCATCTCGTAAAGAACTTATTCAACCTTTCTTCCAACAAACAACTACCCAACTTCAATAGAAATTGAGAGAAACATTAGACAGAGAGAAGATAGCCAACGCTATTGCCAGGAACAGAAATGAATCAGGATTTCCTGTTAATCAATGAAAGTTTCAGGCTTTCCTGTTAATCTATGTCCAACTCTGGTAGACCCAAATGACGGTCTACTATCCTAATTCCTACATAGAGCAAATCAATATATCCATCCACATGGACAAAGGGCAGGATTGTAACTGTAGGACCCATCAGCTTTTTTGACGGTTGAAAATAACGTTATAGATCAACTACTTTTGGCCGTCTGATCGGGATAACGATCTGTTGTCAGCTTTTTATCTACGAGTTCAAAATCTGGCGGTAACGATCTTTTGTCAGTTTGGAAAAGAAGCTGTTCTTTCTTATCTCGAAGCCTGAGAAATCAATGGCTGAGAAGAAACAAGTTTTCATCTACAGAGTGGTTCAGGGACCGAGTAATCGAACCCATCAATCCTTCCTCCCATGGCCTTCTCTGCAACTCTCCCTCACAGTTCCTTCTCGTGCCTTCCTTCATTGCCACAAGCTCTAAGGGGAAATCATCTTCGGAGGCTAACAATAAGAGCTGTGAGTGCAGATGGTTCAGGAAAGGAGAAGCCCGAACAGTCGGCAACCGCGGAGGCCTCTAAGTCTAAGACCGAGCCTTCGACAAAGACAATAAAGTTACCCAAGAAGCCAGTCTACTCTAGTATGCTCAGAATCTTTTCTCTCTAATGTTTTAACAGTAATGAATCTGTAAACGATATAATTTCTTATTGTTGCAGTGAAGAAAGGCCAGATTGTGAGAGTGGACAAAGAGAAATATCTTAGTAGTGTCAACGTAAGTGAAGCTCAATTCGAATTTAGGTTCTTAACGGTTTCTATTTTGCATACTAAATCATTTACAGAGTTTCTAAGCTTTTTTTTTTCTGCACTGAAGTGTATCTTGATGATGATATTGCCATTCAGAAGGCACAGATCAAAACGGACAAGTACATTAACCAAAACCTAGATTATATTTACACAGAGTAACCGGGGAGTAACCTTGATTCTTTACATGGGTTTTTGCATCATTTATTGCCAATAATCCTATTATAACTTCTGCATTGGTTGCAAGCAAAAGCATGTTCGTCAACAACCTTCAATTTTTTGTGCTTGCCAACAATTTGCTTCTGAATTCATCTAATCAATGAATTCTATTCTCTCCTCCTCCTCCCTCTTTGGTTGAAGAAAGGGGGACGCTCTAAAACGTGTACTCACTTTAAAATCTACAGGGAATATCATTTTGGTAACATCCATCAATGCAATTCTGCAATTCATCCTTTCAATCCAATTCGGTGGCACCATGAAGGCTGAAGCAGAAGTCTGTCATCAGAGAATGGTCAATTAGACATTCTAGAGAGAGAACAGTGATTAGACATCTAATCCGTGCATGCACAAGTTCGTATTATTTTTTTCTTCCTAAGCTGATACAGTATTAGTTTACCCATGAAGAAAGAAAGATCCATACACATTAATGAGTTCACTACACCAGAGAACAACAGAAAGATCTTACAAATCTTATAAAAAAAATGCAGTATAATGAATTAACATAAAATAGATATGAGGGATGGTATATGGAAACTGTGCTAGCTATTTGAAGGCGATTAGATATATATATGTGATAATATGACCTGAGCTATACATAAAATTTTCAACCAGATCTATTGCGATTTCTTTACCACAAATGTTTCTTTCCCCAGTAAATAAATTACAGAGGGTTTATTATTCACTTTATTTGGTTTGGTTCTGATTTCTGAAGTCAATAGTATACTATGTGCCTGATGTCATCTTTCTAATTTCAGTATTTGTCCGTCGGGCATCCACCTTATTACAAAGGTTTGGACTATATTTATGAAGACAGAGGAGAGGTACTTCTGTAACTTCTGGAGCAAAACTTATCAAAAACAACTTCCATTAACTTTATCTGTATGTTTTATTTTGCTGTACGAAGCCCTTCATTTGGTTATTAACTTATTATGCCATTCTAGCTCTGTGCATCCCAACTTTAACTTGTACAAATATAAACCAAGTAATCTCTATTTGTTTCCACCATAATCTGCTTTCCACTTAGTTGACTGCACAACTCTGTTATCAGGTCTTGGACATACGTATTTTCGAAACAGGAGAATATGCACTTGTAAGTTACATTTCTTTCCATCTTCTGGTCTTTCTTACGTCGTCTTGTTTGCATGCCTGTTTATTACTTGGTATAATTTCTCGATTCAGTAAGTCATGAGTGCAAAGATTTGAAGCTGTGATACTGAGATACCTGTAAATGCCTAATGCATCATCGTTGGACACGATACTTACACGATACAACACCAGATAATCCACAACTCTTTTAGAGTATATACTGTTGACATCTTTTAGGATATGTAAATTTGAATGTTTTAACATATCATAGTTTATAAAACCTGTATATGTTATAAGTTTAATTACATTTGGTAGGAAATTTGTATTGGAAAAGCTACATATAAAAGCATGATATAAGCATATATAACAAATTTTATACTCATACCCACATCCATCATCCATGTCAGAAATCTAATGAAATGGATAGTTGTAGCCTTGTTTCCTGTATCCGTGTCCGTGCCGATTACTGTATCTGTATTTGGGTTCATAGATTTGAGGATATGCTTTAGTAGAACACCTTTCCCCAGATGGTAATGGTGATGTTTACAGATCTGACACTCAAAGCTATTTGAAACTTGAGCATCAAATGCGTATTATTCTTACCTGATTAATGCAGGTTTTAAGATCAACCGGTGGTTGTGGTCTGAAATTGCAGAAATTTTAATTGTATGCATTGAGTCTTCAGTCCATTTACAACTTCAGTTCACCTGACTTGCCAATTCTTTGTTTACAGATTGCATGGGTTGGAATCCCAACTGCACCAGCTTGGCTACCTACAGACATGCTAATTAAGGTATTTCACTATTTCTATCTCTAGGAACTTGGAAGTTTTGACATCAATTTGTCAAGAGCAAAAACTAAAATCCAGATATAATCCCATAAAATATCTGTGGATTGACACAACATATGAAGGTTAAATCATTAGGAGTGCAATCTTTTACATGCCAACCATCAGAATGAAACCTCCATTGGACATGTTACTAAGACGAGTATAGAGAATTGGTCTACTACCAAAAATGTTGAGAGGATTGGTGTCACCTTTGAAAATATTTGAAACTTGATTTCTGATAAAATTATTCGATGGTTACTATTGTGATGATTTTCCTGTGCCCATTGCAGTCAGATAAGCTCAATTACGAGAGAATCTAATTCAAGTTCTGAAGGCAGAATTCCCCCAAATCAGTTGATGGATGCACCTGGTTCTGGTCTTGCTATAAATACTTTCTGAACTGTCATTGTGTTTTTCCATCATGAGTTCATGACCATATGTTCCTTTTGTATGTATCATCAGTTTATTTCAATGAATGTATCCATCGAAAAGTTGGCATTCAAGGATCCCATCATGTATCAATCAGGAACTACTAAACAATGTCCATCCTCAAATTTTGATTCTACAGAGAAGATCTTCATCTCTCTAGAATTTCTCTTAGATGTTATTGACTGATGATTTGTTTCAGTCATATTTCCATTAACAAGTGGGTTTATTCTACCAGTTGCCGGAAGAACCCAAAGCTGCTAAAATTGCTTAATTGATTATAATCAAATAGTAACAAAGCTGTAGAAGTGTACAACACCTGTTAGAAAAAAAATGATATGTTACAAGTTGTAGGGGATAGGACTAGGAGTGGACCGAAAGGACTTAGGTGGAAGTAATAAGAAATGACTTCAGTGCACATAATATAATGATGGATGTAGCAGTGAACAGAATGGAATGACAAAAAAGGTTTCATGTAGCCAGCCCGATATAATTGGGACGGCTTAGATGATGAATTGATGATGGTGATAAAGCTGACGACTGAAGACCGTTTAATCCTTTTGATCTAAAGATAAGAATCATTAATTGGTATGCTTGCGGTTAACAATTAAGCCAACACTAATATGGGTTGAATGAATTAGCATTCTTACTGATAAAAAAAATTGCATCCATTTATGTGTGAGGTACCATAGAAAGACCATTTTATTTTTTGATGACCCAGTGCTCTCAAATGCAATGGAAAGCCATAAAATATCATTTTTCCAGTACTCCATTTAAGTAAATGACTGAAGAGATGATCTTTAAACTTATGGGAACTGTTATAGACTGCTGGGATTCATTTTATCAATACATTACTGAAATCATATGCAAATATTGAGAGCTTCATTTAATGTGAAAAAAATCTATGTAATGGAACAAGTTTTTCGCTTGGTCAGTGCTTCACTTTTTCTTACTTTGCACCAATTACTTTCATGGCTCAATACACTAATGCTCAGTTTGGAAGGAGTACAAATACAAATATGTACTGTACAAATACATACAAAATAATATAAAATACAAGGTTTTGCACTTCTGTACTCCTCCCAAACTGAGCCTAAAGAGTGCAAAAATCATGCTTAATGGTCAGATTGGAAGGAGTACAAATACAAGTATGTAGAGTGCGAAACTTTATATTTTGTATTATTTTGTATGTATTTGACTATTTGTACTCCTTCCAAACTGAGCCTAAAGAACAGAGAACTTATATTCGACAAATAAAATCTAAAAGTAATGCATAGTCAGCCAGTTTTCAACTTAAAAGAAAAAAAAAAAAAATCAACCAAAGCAGTGACATAAAGATTTATTGTTGCACGTCACTTCTTTTTCTAAGAATCTCAACTCCCAAGTAATCAACAGGGCCAGGAACACTAACATGAGGTTTCCCCACTTTCACTCGGACAGCTGATATCTGAGGAAACTTGGTTAGCGTGGTGGATGCAATGAGATGAGCCACAGATTCGAGGAGATTCTGGGGTGGGCCCTCCATAATATCCTTAACTATTCTGCTATTCCATGCAGAACAAAACAGTTAATGAATACCTGCACCCACACCCATCCAATCCCCCCCCCTCCAATATATATATATATATATATAGAGAGAGAGAGAGAGAGAGAGAGAACAAGCATACATACAAAGAAAAAAAAAGCAATACATAGAAAGTACACATCCATGCGCAAGCACTTAGAAATGAAGGCACTGTAGATAAATAAATGGATAGATACAAGAATGTTGTATATTTGTGTGCATGATACACAATAATATAAACAAAATAACTAATCCTATCCTATCAAAAAAAAAAAATCCTATCTGTGCAGTTTTAATACTGGTTTACACCAACTCTTTAAAGGTGTTTTTGTTGCTTATTCATTTCAAGTGGTGTGCCATATTTTGTCTTTAATGTATATAAGAAATGGAGTCTGGAGCATTCCAGTTAGCTAGGGTAGACCATGTCATTCTGAATTTCATTCCATTCTCTCAGCAAAAAGGCCATTACCCAGTGCTGGTCCTGGAGATACAGGGCCTTGGGAGGGATGGAACTAGGAGTAGGAACAGTCAATTCTAATCTCTAGTTTTTTTTTTGTTCTCTTCCTTCTTTTTTCTCACAAAGTGGCTGCCCTTAAATCTGGAACCCCCATTCACATGCTTTTCAGCCCAATATTTTCCAATGTTTTACCATCAGATCAAGCAATGATCAATCCCAAAAATTCCTCAGATAGCCAATGAACAAGGAAAGCTACCTTAAAAATTGAAGATTTTTTAACTTAAGGTACTGCCTGTTAAAAGGATAAAATGATCTTCACTTGAATAAGATATAAAAAGTTCTAGCAAGAACTGATTTAACTGATACTAAAGCATTCATCTCTGTTTTGAGAGCACAGCATAGTGCAAGTAGGTGAAGTGATTGATGAAACTAACCATGTAGATGTCCTATGTTTGTATTTATAACTGAACCTTGGAATAATATGCAAACTTTTTATGGCCAATAAATGAAATATTTGCATGATTCACATGCCAATGGACTTCAGGATCTACCATTTGCTGGCTCTCAGCACACACCCGAAGAACTCTTAAATGGATATAAATTGCTAGCATGCTCTTTAGATTAATCAATGTAGTTAAGGTAAAAATTCCACTAATCTATAATGATATTTTGTTTCTCAGATGGTAACAAGTATACATTGACTAGGCTAAAAGATACACATTGAATATAGGTCTTTGGTCTCTCTCCTGATGCAGACATGCCAATATGCATATGACTAATATATCTGAAATTGATACATTAGTTAATGAATCATATTACTTACCGATAGATGTCAGTGTAACTAACTGAGTCAACTAAATTATCAGATTTACCGGCTGCACGAAGATCTAACCAAGCATCCACTTCTACCAAGAACTTCTGCCCCAATTTCCTCTCTTCTGGTTTCACCCCATGAAATCCATGGAACATCAAACCCCTGAGTATAAGTTTGTCTCCCTTAACAATCTCTTCATCATCCATCAATGAACCTAAACATGATGAAGAAAGTTCATTTTCATTTTCGTTTTCATTTCTCCTCTTTTTTTTTTTTTTACTTTGTATGTTCAAGAACAATGTATCCTTCTAGTTACCAACATACAAAATCAAGAAACTCATACTTTCCAGTACCACATTGATACTCCGAAAACATAATTTCTATTCCACACATGGTGAGACGTAAAAAGATGAACCCATGAAAATCATAAAAAAATCAACAAGTATTCATTATTTGTAATGGTAAATAGTTTTTGCAGATATTGATTCTTATCAACCGCATAAGACAAAATGATTGATTTTAGACTTCAGATTCCTGATCATGGGACCATAAAAACAGATTTTTGTATTTCCATAGCACACGACTGTTTCCAATTGCCCTCACCACACCCATGACGAACGAACAAACCCATTTAATTTAAAGCTTCAGTATTAAGATTAAGAGGTTCTCAACTTCTGCAAACACAAAACCCAGAAAGAAAATTGAAAACAGAACTACATACCTGTTCAATGGAATCTCGGATGTGTGGATGTTGAAAGGTGTCCGGAGTTCTTAAACTATCCGAGGATATAGAGAGAGATTCGTATAGAAGGAGCTGAGGAGTGAGGAAAGTAGTCGACAGTTTCCTACACTTGTATCTAAAGCAGGGGAATCAAGAGATGGGGATGGAGAGAGATCACTCTATGACTCTACGTGGTGCGATACCATATAAACGGCTCTCATAAAAACCGTGTAGGCACGGTTATTAAGGGTAAGGGTGCAAGTCGGGTGAGTTGGGCCGGGTTTATGGTCAACCCAGGCCCGGTCCTAAAATTTGAACTTAAGACCCGAGCCTGAGATCAAGCCTGATTTTCCCAACTCAAGTCCAGCTCGCCGCATTCAAGTTGGGCTCTGGCCTAGGCCAGGCTCGGGTTGGTCAATGAATTCACTCTAAAAGTATACATATATAAATATATTTATGCAAATATGCATATATTTACATATATATGTGAATATGTATGCATATGTGTATATGTATAAATGTATATAATTAGGCTGGGTTCAGACTACCTAAGGGTTAGGCCCAAGCCCGACCCGAAAAATATAAAAACCTGACTCCTTGGGTTCAAGCCCAGCCTGAAGATTGAAAATCCAAGTCCAGCCCATGTAAAATTTCGAATTGAGCCAATTCGGGCTCAAATTGGGCCCGCCCAAATTGCACCCCTATTAAGAGGCTTTGGCATGACATCCCTAGACGGGGCGGGAGAAATAGAAAAGGATAAACTATAAGGACCCCTGTACCATGGGGTCAATAATATAGACCCTCTGTACTTTTCTTTGCGACCAAGACTCCTCTGAATTTTATCCGTTAGACAAAGACCTTCTTCCGTTAATTAATTTTGAGAAAAAGATTCTTATCTGTTTTAAATTTTCTAAATGTCCAAATTACACTTTTCTTTAATTTATATTTATGAGAAGAGGCAACATTGCCCCCAAATTACAAGAAACCTGAGAGCCCACAATGACTACTCAAAATCCAAAAACATGGCTTTTCGTTGAAGTAGATGGCCCGTAGACAGTCCAGAAAATGGTTGATCGCTTATTTGATTTGGGCTCTCTAGATTTTTCACCATATAGAACCCACCTTGGAAAGTCAAAAGTTGCCCTCCCAAACATTATGGTTTCTCTAATACAGCTCAACCAATGCTTCAGGGCTCGTTTCAATTGGTCATCATCGCCACCTCACCCATCACTACTGGTTTTCAGCCAAAAGTGAACAAGGGTGGAGAGGCTCTATAATTGCTACAACTACATCTTTTGCTTTACTTTCTTGGTCTCAAATTGAATTAATATTTTTTCTAAGAAATCCGCTAGGTTTATTCGTTGGGTTGGGCTCCTGAAAAGAATTGAATTTTCAATACATCACAAGATGGGAGGTTAATTTTGTGGAATGTGTTAGAACTCATTCAACAAGTTCATAGTGGTTTGAGGTGAATAAAAAATTGGGACCCAGTAGTGCTTAGAGCTAGCTACTGAAATGGCAAGTTGTTCTGGAAGCCCATCTAAGGCTTTTACTAAGAGAGGGAGAGCATGGTTTCAGAATTATTGGTTTGTAAAACAAAGGTTGATGGGGCCTCTGATTTTTGCAATTCCCTAACCATGAAGGAAGGCCTCTTTCTAGGCGATTTGGGCTCTATAAATAACCCCTCCCCCCCAACACACACACACACACAAATCATCCATTGGTTGAGAGAAACCGCGACTAGAGAGAAGAGTCTCCCTTGTGCTCTGTTTTTCAGTTTTGTAGTTCAGCAAGGAGAAAAGGGTTCTTTGATTTGGTTTCTTGTAGAGAAGAGTAAAAGAGAAAGTGACAAAGCCAAGGAGGTGTTTCTGAAGGTCTTTAATACCGGAATAGAGCTATGGATGTCAGTTTTACCTCAATAGCTCAAGGTCGGTGTTTACTTATTTCAGTCCGCTTCTAGAGCTTAGAATGCTCTTATGATGATCCTTTCATGTTTAGAAGTCATCTCTCTATCTATTAATTGGTATCAAACCCGATTTGGCTGAAATTTCGTGTGGCCAATTAAAGGGGTTTTTGACCTCCGATTTGGCTGAAATTTTGTGGGCCCCCACTAGACCCTATGACCCTCTTGCGTGTGAAATTTTAAATAAAAAATCCCTTTGGATAAGGAGATATTGGACTAGTTCATTGACTGATCCACCGGTTCATTATCATATTGATAACTTTTGGAAGCCGGTTATGGGGTTTCCGACCTTGGATTGAACTGAAATTTGGAGGGATCATAGAGGACCATATTTTCTATTATTTTCCAAAATGTCATTCAAAACTAACCTATAGATATGTATATTTCATTATGGTTAGCAATTATTCTGCTAGTTTTTTTTTTTTTGTAGTTTTGCATAATTTGAAATGCCTATTATTTGCTCACTTGAAAAGGCATGCGATAATGATTATTATGCATATATATTGTCTTTATTTGGGGTATTTTTGTTAGGCTCTCCTCCATAAATGAATCATGTATTTGCACCTAACTATGATGGGCAACGGGTTGACCCAGTGGAAGGACACACTTTGAATAGTTAGTGGGATGGAAAGACTAAATAAAGGGTTCTATTTGGGAAAACTCGTAACCCAACAATGATGGGCTTATCCAACCAACGGGATTACTTAATTAGTCTGGACCATTGAAATCATTTGTAGAATTATCGTTCAACCCAACAGATGAATGATATTCTGCATCAATCTTGGGTCAAGACCTAATCATGATTATGCAATGGTTATTATGAGATTTAGCTGATGATTACTCCATTTTGAGTTAGATTATTGATATGTGTGTATTATGTGACATGACATTTTTGTGCGTTTATTCTAAAACTTGTAGTTGTTAATCCAACAATGGTTACTAGTTACTTATCTAGCATTGAAATATTAGCTGGTACAAATTTTAACAAGTGAAAAGACCATATTATAATTGTTCTAGGGTGCATGGATATTGATCTTGCAATTAAAATAGACAAACTCGCTGAAATCACTGGTGCCAGTATTGGTGAGCAAAAGGCACTTTATGAAAAGTGTGAACGCTCTAATTGCATGAGTCTCATGATCATAAGAAACACCATTTCCATTACAATCTGTGGTGCAATTCCTGAAAATGAAAGCACAATGGATTATTTAAAGGAAGTATAAGAACATTTTGCTCTGGTTCCACAAAAAACATTAGCAAGTACTCTTATGATCAAAATGATCACCATGAAATACGATGGTTGCAATGGGGTATGTGAGCACATTATGAAAATGAGTGACATGGTGAACTAGGTAAAAGGAATGGATATAGAAATATCTGAAGGTTTCTTGGTGCAATTCATTATGACTTCTTTTCCTATACAATTTGGTCCATTTAAAATCAAGTATAATACATAGAAAGAGAAATGGAAAATGAGCGAGCTAATTGCCATGTGTGTTCAAGAAGAAAAAAGGCTTAAAAGTGAAATGCTTGAAAGTGCTCACCTAACCATTGGAGCACATAAGAGACATTTCAGGAGGAAAGGTCAAAGGAAGGGCAAAGAAAATGACATAACTATAAATATGCGGCATGGCTCGAAAAGAAAGATAAGAATTTTGCCTTTTTGTTTTCAGAATCATTTTTTGTTAGCACACCATCTAATACTTGGTGGGTGGATACAGACGCTACAACTCATGTCGTAATTTCTTTCAATGCTTTTTGACAAGCTGACGACTGCATAAGGGGGAATGCACCATAGCTGTTGGCTATGGAATAGAGATAGATGTTGAAGCCATAGGGACATATTGTCTCATTTTTTATGCCAACTTTCATCCAGACTAAGTAGATACACTATATGTACTTATATTTAAGACAAATCTAATTCCAATTCCTAAACTTGATTCCTCTGGCTTTGAATTTAAGTTTAAGAACAAAAGTTTCACTTTACTCCATAATTCCATTAAAGTTGGGTGTGGTGTGTTATGTGGAAATCTTTATAAGATTATGAGGATTCATCCATTCTGTGGCATAAAAGATTAGGCCACATTTTTAAAGAAAGAATGGAATGTCTCACAAAAGATGGAATCATCAATTCACTAGATTATTCTGACATTGACATATGTGTGGATTGCATAAAGGGAAAATTCACTAAGACCACTAAAAGGGTGGGAGCCACAAGATGTATAGGGTTACTAGAAGCAATACATATAGATATTTGTGGACTCTTCCCTACTTCTACTATAGGAGGACATATATACTTCATTACCTTTATAGATGATTTTTGCAAATACAGTTCTGTGTATTTGATTCATGAAAAATTAAAAGCACTTGATGTTTTTAAGATCTTCAAGACAAAAGTTGAAAATCAAATTTATAAGAAGATCAAAAGTATATAGTCTAATATAGGAGGTGGTTATGGTAGATACATCGAAATAGGCCAAAGTGCCTTTGCCTTTGGAATAGCAGGTAGACTTGAATAGAATGGAATAGTAGAGTGACAAAATCGTACTCTCATGGATATGGTAAGAAGTATGTTGTATAATTCAAGTTTACTTGAGAATTTGTGGGGAGAAGCCTTAAAGACAACTGTAGCTGTACATATTCTCAACAAGGTTCCTAATAAAATAATCCCTAATATCCCATATGAATTGTGGATTGGTAAGAGACCCAAATTTGGATATTTGCGTATTTGGGGTTATCCAGTTGATGTAAAAGTACATAATTTGCAATAAGGTAAACATGATCCCAAAACAATTAGTGGTTATTTTGTTGGTTACCCTAAAAGATCTAAGGGTTATAAATTCTTTTGCCCTACTTTGAATAATAGAATTGTGGAATGTAGGCAAGCCAAATTTCTAGAATTTGGGAATTCTAGTGGGGGTTTTGAATCTAGACAGATCACCTTTCAAGAAAATCTAGTGATCATACCTGTACCAATCATACAGGAAAGAGGTGTACCAATTAAAACTCTTGAGACTAATATTCAATGTGTCCAAAATAATGAAATTGCTGAAAATACAACACCAGAAAAATAAATCCCACTAAGAAGATCTCAAAGAGTCTGGAGATTGACAATATCAAATGACTATGAAATCTATTTAAATGAGTGTGAGCATGAGTTGAATTTGGAAAATGATCCTATATCATTTAGTAG